TTTGCCTGTTTTATGTTCCAACCCAGTATTTTCTTTTTCTGACGGTATTTAGGATTGAAATGAGGGCATCATAGATGCTAGGTCAGCATTCTACCCTCAACTAAAGCCTCAGAAATTCTTTAAATTTGCAAAGCATAAGGTACAAAGGTATTCTAAAACATGTTGGTTTTGATGTCTTAAAGAAACACAGTGTAAACCATATTAATTTATTCACTTAAAAGAATAAAGATGTGTATCCTACTGTTCTTGGATACATTACACTCATTATAATTTTTAGATTGCTCCATTTTTATGCCATTAAACTATTTAAAAATTGAGTCATACCCAAAACAAATTTATTCTTATTACTTTGGGGAAAGATAATGTAAACAGGAACATTTTATATGAAAAAATTCAACTTTTCCTTCAAAATATGCCATCCTCCTTTTCAAGAAGTTGCATCTCATAATGTGCTTATTTTGTATGCATTTATTTAGTTTTGTGTACATGTATTCATGTGTGGTATTGGGGTCGTGGTCAGAGGAAACCTTGCAAGAGTTGGTTCTCTCCTTCTATTTTGTGAGTCATGGGTACTGAACTCAGGTCATTAGGCCTGGTGGCAAGATTTTTTTTCTTTTTTTTTTCCCCATGAGCCATCTTGCTGACCTATTTCTTTGATAACAATCGAAATCATTCCTCAAGTGACAATGAAATATGTTACAAAAGCATTAGACATACCTCATTAGACATGTAGAGTCTAATAAAATTATCAGAATTATACATTCTTGCACAAGAATTTTAAAATCATCTTTTTTTTTATTTTGGGCACATTTATCTGGGAGATGTAGGAAGCATCATCGATGAAATATAAATGAACATCATACTATAATCTCAGATCCAAATTTTCAAACCTGTCTTCCAAAGAACATTTAAGCACTTTTACCTTCATGATATTTTTCAATAGATTAGTTTTAAGACTCCTGGCAGTTTAAAGGATGACATCAATGATTACAATTGCTACTGTGACTGTGACATGTATTTTCTAGATGGCATTGTTGGTTCTATTATATTCATTTATTTACCATTTATCACAGCACAACTTTCTGATTTCTTGAATAAAAATAAAGTTTGTGCACATTTCAATGAACATTTTGTTTTGTGGTGGAACAATTGCTCAAGCTCTTAGTGCTTTCAGTTAATTGATATTAATATCCACATATATCATCAGCTATACCAAGAGAACAGCTTTGTTTTATTGGTAATGCTGTGATGGAAACTTCTGAAACTTCTAGATGACCACAAATAACTGAACTTGTTCCCATCCACTGCAGGAGGAATCTTCTCTGATTAATACAATAGGATGTCATTAGGAGTCATTATAGGGCTACATTTTTCCCCTTTAACATTCTTTTTTATTTATTCTTTTTATCTTTCATATCATGCATCCCAATCCCACCCATCCTCTGTCCCCTCACTTCTACCCTCTGCCTCAGCAACCTCCTCCCCCCACAATAAAACAAAATAAAATTTAACATAAAAAAGGAAAAAAATAAAAAAATAGAAAAAAGGAAGAATGGGGAAAATCTCATCATGGAAGCTCTAGTGTGATGGGGTGTCATGCAGTAAACCCCTTTATCTATTCATCTTTACATGCAGGTGTTCATCATAAAGAATCATTGGTTGGGTTTGAGGTCCCTGGTGTCTGCTATACTATCAACCTTGGGCCCTCACTGGGACTTTTCCTGGACATTCCTTTGCTGCCCTATGTCGTGGAGATCCTATAGCCCTGGGTCCACAGGACCACCTTCCCCACCACATCTGGGCTCCAGCAGATCACAGATGAGGGGTGGATGCTGTGGTGGGCCAATATTTAACCCAGATTCTTCACCTGGTTAATTGCAAGTTTGGTCAGCCTGCCAGCTCCATCCCCTGCCTTCATCACCAGGGTAAGAACTTGCCCTGGCTAGTTCACCCCTTGCAGCTATAAGCAAGGGGCAGGAGTGGTTCTCCAGCTTTGCCATCCTCATGGTTGATTCACACTTATACCTTCAAAGCCAACTCTACTGTGTTGCCCAGTCAAGGTATAGGGGCTACTCTTTGGAGTGCTGCAGTTGATGTGGACTAGAGACAGCTCTCTGACTGTTATGACCTCAGGGCAAGCTCTCCCACCTGAGGCAAGATGCAGGGGGCGGGGATCTCCCCACCCATGCCTCCACATGATAGATAAATAATGGTGATGGCAGAAGGCTTTCTGTGTATATGTTTGTCTTATTGGTTGAAAAATAAAACAGTGTTGGCCAATAGGGAAGCAAGATAGGTGAGACTAAGAGTTGAGGAGGATTCTGGGAAATGTAGTAAAGAGGAGAGTCACCTTGTGATCCCAGGAAGGCTGGGTCATGAGGCTGGCATCCTTGGTAAGATAAGTCCTTATAAAAATATATAGATAGTAGTTATGGTTGATAATTAAGACTCAGGTAGCAAATAAGAAATCCTAGTAACTGGCCAGCAGCACTGTAACTAATATTAACATTCTGTGTGTTATTTGGGGGCCTTAATGTGGCAGCAGAACTCAGGCTGCTGGTGGAAAGAGTTATCATTACATAATGGAGACAACTTTCCCGAGCTTACAATTTCAAGGCTGGATCACCCACACCTCCACCAACAGGGCCAGCTCCACTGTATGCCCAGGCAAGGGGGATGGCCCGCTGGTAAAGAGGACGGTCATCTCTCTTGTCTGTAGAAGGTAGTGATGGACAAGGTGACATCTTTCCCCTGTCCACATACTCACATGACAGACACTTCTCTGTGGAACACTTCTCTCACACTCACGCCTTTGGGGCTGGCTCACCCACACCTCTGCCAACAGGGTTGGCTTTGTTGTACTGCTCATGAGAGATGCAGAGCTTGTTCTCCTGAGTGTTGCAGACAGTGGGAGGCAGGAGCAGTTCTTCAACTCTAATTACCTCAGTGCCACTTCTCCCTCATGCCTCAGGCATTGATGGGGGGTCAGGGCCAGCATCTCTCCTATTCATGCTGCCTTATGTCAGAAGAGAGATAGGGTCAGGTCTCCCACTAGCTCACCTGTGCTCTTGTCAACAGGGTCAGCTGATTGCTTGTTTGTTTTTGAATAATAGTATTTTGTTTCACCATCTGTCTCTGGGCTATCCAGTCTCAGGTTGGCAATCGCACAGGCAATGTTGGGTATGGATTTCATCTTGTGGTTGAGTGAGCCTTAAGTCGAATCAGATACTGATTGGTTACAGTTGCTTCTGTCTCACAGGCATTGAACCAACAACATTGTGTATCTTATAAGTAGAACAACATTGTAGTAGTAGGGATTATGGCTGGCGTGGTGTTTACATTTCTCTTTTGGTAGTATGCAGAATACCTTCATGTACCACCAGTGCTGGAAAGTAGGGGTGAAAGCTCTATGTTGGTATCAGTTCAGCTTCTCCATGTTTAAGAAGTTGTATAGGTGTTGTCTTCAGCATGGGAGACTTGCTGTCAGCTGGTGGAGAGCAACCTATAGTTGGGTAGTTTGGGGATTCCATGGGTTCTTTTGGCAAACAACTCAACTAGATGTAACCCAAACCCAAATTAGAAGCTACATTTGGTGATAAGAGACAGCCAAATAGTGTCTTTCTCTCCCATTATTTGGTGATTTAATTTAGATTGCCTTTATATATGCATACATTTTAGGAAGTTTCTACTGTAATAGGTTTCCTTACTGTCCCTTAAGCTGTCTCTTCCTAATTCCTTCCCTTGTCACCTTCCTCCCTCCCCTTCCCTGGTTGATGCTCCAATTCCTGCATTCACCCACCCCCATCCATCAATAACTATCTATTTTATATCCTTTTACTAGGGAGATCTATATGTCCCTTCCTCTATATCTAACCTCCATGGATCTACCAATTCTAGCATGTTTGCCATTGACTTAACTGCTAATACCCACATATATCCTTCTTAGAGTTAGATATGTCTCATTTGCTGGATATAGTTCAGGTCAAAACTCCTCCAGATCCTTGTAAGAGGTTGAAAACAGCAAATGACATGAGATAGCAGTTAAGGGAATCCTGGTGCATCTTATTTTGAATGTTCCTTCCTGTGGCTCTAGGCACTACACCAATACATACACATAAGGCCCCTAGAAAATAGTTTTGAGGGAATGTGGGTACAGCCAATGAATGTAGGTAGTTGTTCTGGCAGTTTTGCCTGTAATATATTTGCCCTTGCCCTGACACAGGAGTCTTGTTTCTTCTTTCAGCATAAACATAAGATTGTGGTAAGCCAGGTTTTTACTTTTAAAGTGTGGTGCACATTAGACCTCTTAAAGTTTTACATTTAGAAAATCATGTATCAATCAAATAGCAACATACCTGTGGCAAAATACATGAATGTCCAACCAACTGGTTCTATTATAGTAAAAAGGGACTTGAATATTCACTTTCATTTATATAGCTACAAGTCTCATATGTGTTTTGATTATGATCAGTGTAATTTGATCATTATTCAGAGTCTCTACAATTTCTATGCTAATTATATGTATGCCATAAACTGCCAAGCAATTTGATGGGGAATTTACTATGTATGTTTATCTTATTGATTATTAAATAAAATACTGTTTGGCCAATGAGACAGCAAGTTAGACAGGACTAGGAGTCAAAGAGGATTCTGGGAAATGTAGTAGAGAAGTGGTGATCCAGGCAGGAAGTGACATAGCAAGGAGACTCATATCTAATCGAGGAAACAGGAAGTGGCCCCCTTTTCCCCTTCCTCCTCCAGTGGCAATGTGATCCACCAGCAAGCGAGGACACCAACAAGGCGTCTGATAAGATAAGTCTTATAAAATATATAGGTTTATGATAATTAAGACAGAGCTATCAGAAGAGGATCCTAGTCATTGGCCAAACTGCATTTGTACATAATATGTCTCTGTATTATTTTGTCCATCCACACGACGGGCAGAACTCGGGGAGCTGGCGAAGACCGCCCACATGGCGGTAGAACTCGGGTGGGCAATTTATCAAGTAATAGAAGAAATTATAAAACAGAAGTGGGGAGTGACAGGTTGCTTGCAGCTGGAAAATTTGAGGTCAGGATTTCAAAGTAGCAAATACATCAAATGAAGTAAATCAGGAATCCATGATGTCTATTTGGGATGTCAAGACAAGCTTAGGATCAGCTTTCTGAATCCTGAAATCCAAAATGAGCATTAAAACTTCTGTGTTTCAAGATGGCAGAACACAGCAATTATGTGTTCTGGGATTTCCTGCCCAGCTAGACTAGTCCCACAACCACTTCAGCTCTAAATAAACACAGAAATGCTATATTAATTATAAAACTGTTGACCAGTGGCTAGGGTTTCTTATTGGCTAGCTCTGTCTTAATTATTAAGCCATTACTATTAATCTATGTATTTCCACGTGGTCTTGGCTTACCAGAGAACTCCTGGTGTGTCCTCTCTTCCTGGGCTCGTGACTCCTGTCTGCCTAGACATCCCAGAATTCTCCTCCTCTGGTACTCCTGCCTATCCTTCCTGCCTGTCCATTAGCCACACAGTATTTTATTGATCAACCAATAAGAGAAACATATTCACAGAAGGACAACTCCATCTGTTATGGCTCAAGGCTCTGGTTGAATCAGATAGGGATCTGACCCTGGAATCTCCAAAAACTTTGCTTGAGTTCTGATTGCTGCTTCCTGAAGGTCTGTGGACCTATAAGATTACCTCTGCAACATACCTTTTAGAAAGCATTATGGCTGGAATTTTAAAATCAATGAAAGTATAATCTTGTAAATGGTTTTATTTTAAATTACATTACAATATTAACACAGAAAAGCAATAAAGATTTCAAGGGACCTGTCAAATTCCTTACAATGCCCTCACCCACCATGTCCCTTCAACTGTGTCTATATCTCCCTCTTCCAAGCATATCTGAGTGTTCCTTCTGCAATGAATGTGCTCTCATTTAGAAACCATTTTATAAAATTTACTTATGAGATTAACTGGAACCTGAATCAATTATTTTTCTCAACTCCTGGTGTTGCATAAAAATGTATTGTGTAAGGAAATGAGTTTATTTTTAATCATGAAAGCAGACGTTCCAACTCAGTGAATGTAATGGGAAAAACTAACAATTTATTTTTGTAGCTTTTTCCTCCAGATTTTAATATCAATATATTTATCCTCAATTTACCTCTGATGCTAAAAACTTCTTAACATTTGGCTTGTTCTTTATGAGGGTTGTTTTTTTTTTTTTGAAAAGTAAGATTTTTTTTTTTACTTTTTTACTTTTTTTATAATCTTGCTTTATCTATTGACTCCTGTATTGTCTATTATTTTATAAGTTTCAACTGATTTCAAGTAAGTATTTTAGGAGATGATAATAACTGCTTTATATTTGCTGTTCTCATTGATCCACATATTAGTCAAAGTGTAATAGAGATTATTGCATCTATTCTTCTCTATACTCCCATTTAGAAGTTGCAGAATTTGAAACATGAGATGTGAACATTGTTCAAGCTAATAAAGATAGTTTTGCAGCAGTTGACATCTTCACCACTTCCAGAACCAGATTGTCGTCTTTTCATCGCCATGCTATGTGGCCTTGTCTACAGCAGAGTGAGCAAACATTCTAGATGGTATTCTAAGAACCCCTTTGGAAGGCTAAATACAACACATGTGAATAAAGATGAAAGGAGGACAAATGAGTACAATACCTTAAGGAATTATACTTCAAAATAATTCTTTTGTATTTCTTTGAGTTATTTATTTTAATAGCTTTACTTTTTTCGATTTAGGTTGTGTCTTAGTAAATGTTTCTATTGCTGTGATGAAAACCACATCTAAAAAGTAAGTTGGAAAGCAATGGGTTTATTTGCCTTATATTTGCATATCACTGCTTCTAGAAAGTTAAGGCCTACCAGGCCTAGAAAGAGAACCAACATGGAGTCTGTCAGTTGCTGTCTGTGGTCCTGATCCTGCTCAGCCAATGAAAGGAGATTAGGCTATCCTGCCTGAGGTCCTAGCAACAGGCACTGTTCAAGGTCCTGATCGCCTAGCCAATGAAGGGCGATTAAGTAAGGTCAATGGACCAGAGTGTCTGGGCATTGGGAAAGTAAGTTTCTTCTCATTGCTAAATAAAGGAGTCTGCTACTTTTCCTTTCTCAGGACTCCCAAGGTCGGTGTCATTGACTTTGTGCCTTCTCACCCCTCCCCAAAGGGAGCCATGAATTCTTCTCACCCCTCCCCAAAGGGAGCCATGAGGACCCAGAAACAACTGCTCATCATTGAAGAAAGTCAATACAGGAATTCAAACAGGGCAGGGAACTGGAGGGAAGAGCAGATGCAGAGGCCATGCTATTTACTGGCTTCCTCCACATGGCTTGCTCAGCCTGCTTTCTTACAGAACTCAGGGCCACCAGCCCAGGAAGGCCCTACCCACAATGAGTCAGGCCTTCCTCCATCAATAATTAACTAAGAAACTGTTATACATTCATTAATTGGGTTTCCCTCCTCTAAGATGATTTTGGTTGGTGTCAAATTAACATAATAAAACTATCCATCACAGGTTGTTTCCCTCCTATTGAGCTCTTGAACGTATTCAAATATGGTGGATATTGTCTTTTTATCAGATTTGTTTTAGCTAAATATTTTCTCATAGCGTATGGGCTGTTTTTCACTATTTATCTATTGTTATACTCTCAGCATTTTATTTTGAAGGATTAATGTCCAGTTCAATTTTGGCAAATGAGTTTACAGTGGGGACAAGATAATCTCTTCAACAAATAGTAGGAGGAAACGCAGGTTAGTATCTCTACACAGAAAAATGAGATTAGATCTTCACCCTCATCACATACAAAATAAAAAACTAAAACAACAACAACAAAAGCTATCAAAAGTGAATAAGAAACACATGTAAGTAAGCCTTGAGTTACTGAAGAAAAAGTAAAGAAGAATTTGAGTAACATTTATCTGTATATTGATTTTATTATTAGAAACTATGTTAGAATGGTAGAACTGTAGCTAACTTATCTGATAAAACAATCACAAAGTGCTGAGTTATATAAAAGTACAGTATGCTAAATTTCTAAATATATTTTTCTGGAGCAATTGAAAAATTGAATTCAGAGAATAAAATTATTTGCCTGCATGAGGAGTAGAACATAATTCTAAGTAAAAAGAATCAGCATGTGGAATGTTAGTCAAGAAAACAAAATTAGTGGAAGAAGTATTTATTATGATTTTTATAATTAATACAATATTATTATTGTTTTGCTTATAACTCCCATTTTTATATTTTCTGAATTATTGTTTCATTTCCTTGCTAAAATGGTGATTAAGCACATATGGTAAATTTATCAGTATTTTAAGCTGTTATGTAAATGCTGATAATAATTATATTCTTCACTCTGTGTATGCATAAAATGAATGAATTACATTCTCAAGTCCAATAAATCAATATTATTATTATCCCTCCAATTTTATCTGTAAGGAGTCTGAAATAGCAGAGAATGCACCCCAATTTATCCAGTAAACTAAAGGAATATTAATGGAGGTAAGACTTAAGGGACAATAAGGGAATGAAGTTTGAGGAATAAGGATGGTCTGAATTAAGACTCTCAGGGCCCATGCATGAGAAAACAAGTCAAACATAGAAGCAGAGTCATTCCTTATCTCCCCCAGGACTAAGCTTTGACTTCTTATCTGCAGCTGACTTGGCATCCTCCTCAATGCTCTTGGAATTGCGTAGGCTTGCATTGCCAGAAGATAGTACAAAAAACAAGCAAAACAAACAAACAAACAAAAAACATGTTTTCCTTCATGCTTTGTGCTAGAAGATTGTGCCATAAACTATACAAATACAAATATCATGTTTATATAGTGTACACTAAAAAAGAAATCAATCCTGAAATTAGTGAATGGAGAGTTGGGAACAAAATCAACAAATACCAACTAAAATGAGCTACCAGTTTTGGATTTTGTTACATGTTTTATCTGGAATTCCCAGGGTCACATTCCATGAAACATCATTATTCTTGTTTCATGAAAGAATTGAGATTTGAAGAACTGAGTAAATTTGCTCAGAGGGATACACAATTTACAGCAGAATTAAGATTCAAACCAAGAACAGCAAAAACCACAAGCAGTGCTTTGAGATCCGCCTAGCCCAATACAATGATTGGTTTTTCATTTCTCCTTATTAATTTAAAGTCAAACTGCTCCTTTCTAGAAGTAGAAACTGAATGTGTGGGATTGGCCCTCACTTAGCATTCACAGACAGGTTTGTGTCTTCTAATATTGTGTACTGAGGGCTTGTAGCTATTTGCAGACAAAAGACCAAGAATTAATTTATTCTTCAAGGATTGAGTTTTTTTCCTTTTGTTCATGTGCCCTATTGTTCTCTCTGCACCTGTAGGCACTTTCTTTGAATTCTCAGGAGCATTGCTTTTTAAGTTACTTGAGCTGACATCCTTCATGACCTGCCAAAGGCAAGAAAAGTAAACACAATTTTATGATAGAAGAGTTCCCACAATATGCTCTTTGAGGAAAAGCAAAGCTTTTCATTGTATTAAAGTACAAGTAAATCACATTTTGTATAAAGAAATTTCCTTGGGATAAAAGAAGAAAAATGCAATGCTAACAATTCCATTTTACAAGTTTCCAACTTGACCCTTTTAACCATTGTTCAGAACAGGGGCCTGATAAAGAGGCATTCAGGTTATTTCTTTATGCAAATGCCTTGAAGCAATTTATGTCTATATGACCAAAAGACACATGCTCTATGGTTCATGGTAGCCATTTTCATATTAACTAATTACTAGAAACAATGATAATTTCACCAGGGAATATGATAGAATATGCTGTGACATATTCACACACCTAAACATGATATAACAATGGGAACATGAGTTAAAAGAATATAGCATCAAAGAGATGAAACAAATAGAAAGATAAGTGGTAGATTTTGAAAGGAAAAAGTATACAACTTATGTCATTTCATGTAATACAAATCCAAGTAGAATAGTTAATGGAATTAGGTAACAGTACAGTATTCAGGATGGTACTTACTGGTATATGGAATGGCCAAACTGTCAAAGTCAAAGACATAATTTGTATTTTTATACATGTGCTGATTCTGAATGTGTGTGTGTGTGTTCATAGTAATATTTACATGCTTACCTGTTTATAACTCAACTTAGTTGGGTTTGTAAGATTTGTCTATCCTATTATAAACCATTTTATTTTAAGAATAAAATTATCAAAAATAAATAAAATACTCTGACAATGTAAAAATAAATGTGACATATTTTTAAATTACATGTTTCTTAGAATTAGTAATCAATATTACTTATTAGAAACAAATTTTGGGATTAGTAAGTATATAAAATTGTAAAGTACAAGGAAGACAGGTTTTTATGTTTTATAATTCACATTTCAAACTTCAAATGTAGCTATGTTATTTCATATAAGTGAATTATTATCACATATGAAGAATACAGTTTGGCAGCCTCTGATAAAAAAACATTGTAGCTTATTTGCAAACCATTTTACATTTTTTTCCTTTGGGATTGTATGTATACAAACAAGATGACATAATAGAAGTACATATTAAGCAAAATTAAAAGGCAGAAAATCCACGAATGTGCAGTTGTAAATGTATCTCACAACTAATACAATATGTACATGGAATGATGCTTCAAAAGAATCTGAAAACCTGTGTAGGGCTATAGTGGAAACCTTATAAAGTATTATAAATTTGTTTCCTACAGAAGGAGTCGTTATGACAGGTTTTTCGGGAGAAATGGGAAAGTTTCAAGAAAAAAACAGGAAATAAAAGGAATAAAATTTCAGATAATTACCTTCTCATGAGGGTATCATCACAAGGACTCAAAAGAAGACTTGTGGTTGGAGTTAGCCCCTTGTGAATCAGATGTTCTTTTTCACAGCAAAGAGCCACAGAGGAGACCACTGCCACACTTTCAAAAGAAGCAGATGTCTGAAGCCTGTGCTTGAGATATTTGGAAATTTATTATGCTATCCCTGTTATATAAACTTTTATTAGAGCTAATCAAGGATAATAACCACAACTTATAGGTAAATAGCAAAATAAAAAATGAATAAATATGACTTCTATTAAAATGTGGCTGGAAAATACACAGGAGAGTAATGATTCCTAGCGCATAAAGAAAATACAAAAACAATTTCAAAGAACAAATGAAAACAATAATCCAACCCTCACAGATCATGAAAAGCAAAATTATAAATCAATAACATATAACAAAAAGCCATACAAGATTTTAGAAATGAACAATTCAATAGTAGAAAATAAGGATGTGTTAGTTTCAATGAAAATGCCCCCAATAGGCCCACACAGAGCAGTACTATTAAGAAGTGTGCCTTTATTGGAGGAAGTGTGTCATTAGAGGTGGGCTTTTCAGTTTCAGATGCTCAAGCCAAACTCAGTGCCACTCTCTCTTCCTGCTGCCCTCCAATCCAGATATCCAATTCTTGGCTAATTTTCCAGGACCATGCCTACCTGTATGTTGCCATGCTTCTTGCCCTGACAATAATGGCTAAACCTGAACTGTAAGCCAAGTTCAGCTTCATGTTTTTCTATATAAGAGTTGCTATAGTCAGGGTGCCTCTTAACAGCAATAGAAACCCTAACTAAAACACAAAACTTGTAAAATATGGACTGGAATCTCAGCTTGGTGGAAAACACTGTTGGTCCCAGCAATCAAGAAGTAGAGGCAGGTGGATATCCTTGAATTTGAGACCAGCCCAATCTACATAATGAGTTTCAGGCCAGACATGAGTACACAGCAAGACTGTTTTACTTCAGGCAAGACAGAGATAAAAAGTAAGGGGTTGGTGGCATGCTATCACTGGACCATGTCTCCCCAAAATTTCAAAATTTTAAAGTAGTAACATGATACATTGATAAAACCTTTAGGGACATTCTATGCATAAAATGTAACAATCAGTAATGTACAGAAAAAAAATCATATTTCTGAGAAAGACTTCAGGTAAGAGGAAAAGAAAAAGGTCAAATCAATTTCAAAGGAAAAAAGGTAAGTCTTATATTGATGTTTGACAACAACAGCTAGTCACCGAAACATTGAAACAAGACAGTGTTGTAGAAAGACCATTTGAGTCAAGGATCTTATACATAGCTAAAGTGTCTTCTAGCTCTGAAAGCTGAGAGCCTAGAGGGCTCAAAAAATCAGAGTACTGAGAAGGGTTCTCATAAAAGCCTTCTGAGATCTAGCTCACAACTACTTCACATCCCACTTCTACCCACCACCTCTAGACAAGAGTACCACAGCCAAGAGAGGTCACAGAGAATGCCACCAGCAAACTTTGGACAAGTTAATATTTTTCAGCACAAAGCCTGTGAATTTGCAGTTTTGTCATGAAGTAGTGCTAACATTATTTAGAACACATGACATATACTATTCAAGAAAATAAAATCAGAATTTTCATAATAAATATCAGTGCTAAAATATGAGCAAATAGAACCTAGTCTTAAATTAAAAGAATAATACATCAAAAGCAAGTGACGTTTGTTCTTTCTAATGAAAGATAATTTCATGTTAATAAAACTTTTCATATTAATTGAACTAAGGAGAGAAATGCATGACACTAAAAATGCACTTAAAATTTAGTGACTATATTTGAAGCACTCAAAGTTCAGTTGGTAGTCTGAAGAGATGGCTCAATGGTTAAAAGTGTGTTCTGCTATTGAAGTAGAGCTAGTACCCATGCTGGGTTGTTCACAAATACTGCAACCCCAACTTCAAAGGTTCCAAGACCTCTGGCCTCTGCAAACACTGCACTTATCTGTATAGATACACATAATTAAAGATAAAATAAGCTTTAAAAATGAGTCTATTGTTGTATGAAACTCTTGTATCTAGCCCTAAGTATTCATTTGATTCTGTTCATCAAAAGAATGCACACAAAGACATAAACCACTTGAAATATGTGAATCATTATTTATTACTGTGGTTTTATTAATTACCAAGATTAGAAAGAGTTAAATGTTTGATAGTAGTAATCTACATAATGAACATGTTACACACTGTACAATGGCAAAGCATGTACAATAGATGTCCCAGAGCCTCCCATCTGTTACTATTGGCCTGAGGAATATCAATAACCTGACTGTTATTCAGGAACTCAGTCAGCTTCCGCTGACTATGCAGTACCTCTGGAAAGCTATGTGGCTGGAGGGTCCCAGCAGCAGCAGCTGCTCTGGATTTCTCTAGGATTGCTGAAAGCAACTCTTGATCCTGATACCACACATAGAGAGCTAAGAAGGACTCAGCGTCCTCTTTGCTCACAAGCTGTGGAAGTGCAGAACTAAAAGACTGGTGTTCAGCTCACCGTTATTTGAAGCCATTGTTGAGGTACATGCTACAAATGTTTGTACATAAAACTCTACGGATGGAGTTCGTCTGTCTACCAGCACCAGTGATTTCAGTAATTACGTTTACTGACTTCATCCTTTCCTGTTTGCTCTAGCATTCTCTCACTAGCTCCCAAATACACTCTTGGACCCCTGTATTAGCTCTTGCTTCACTTTCAGCAGAAGACCCTTGTAAACAAAGCAAGTTTTTTTTTTTTTTGCACATTGAAAAGTATCTATTTTTAAGTGAAAAAAGTAAGCATAAAACCAGCATGTTACTTCAGTAGAATTCATATTCATATATACTTCTGTGGTCTCAGAATTGCTTAAAGAAATGTGGGGAATATGTCTTTAGAATACATTGGAGGAAGGGGAATAAAAGTAGCTGTGTTAGTATATTATGACTGCTGTAACAAAACTCAATAGATTAGGAGGCTCAAACTACACCAATATATTATCTTACAGTTCTGGAGACTGACAGGTCCATCAAGATGTCAGACATGTGGGTTTCACCATAATGTATAGTTGGCTAACTTCTCTTTAAGTCTTTTTACTGGGCATTGTTCCTCTGCTGATGTCTTCTGATATCTCCATTTTATGAGATAGCAGGTATATTGGGATTGGCCTACCCCACAACATAGTTTGACTTGATCATTTCTGTAAAACAGGTTCTTTTTTTTTTCTCTTTTTTTTATTAAATTATTAATATTTTCACATGTACTTTCCCTCTCCCTCTCCCTCCCCCCACCCCCACAAAACGCCAGTCCACCTCCAGAGGCTCCCAGGAGTGCAGGGGCCTCCCCATTGGCATCCATGATCAGGGGGCTGGATTAGTCCTGTACTGTCCTCCCAAAGAGCATCTGGGGTCGATATGCTTTCCCTTTTTCAGGCCAACTGTTTCTGTGGGTTTCTCCAACCAGGTACAGACCCCTTCGTTCTTCATTCCTCCCTCTCTTCAACTGAGTTCCAGATTTCAGCTCAGTGTATTTCTGTGGATGTCTGTCTCTGCTCTCATCAGCCACTGGATGAGGACTCTAGAATAGCATAGAGAGTATTCATCAATCTCATTCTAGGGGAAGGGTTTCTAGGCCAACTTCTCCTCCACTGCCCAGACTGTCAGATCGTGTCATCCTTATAGGTCTCTGGAGATCTTCCTAGTTCCAGATCTCTTCTCGGACCTATAGTGACTCCCTCTGATATGGTATCTCTCATCCTGCTCTCTCTCCTCTATTCTTCCCCCAACTCAATATATCTGCTCCTCCATTTCTTCTCCTCTACTCTTCATCTTGTGCTCTTATTGTGGCAGCACCCACTTCCTTACCCTCATGCTCTCAATTAGCTCGGGAGTTCATGCCACTTCCCATTCCTGGGGTCCATTTATCCCTTAGAGTCATTCATGATTTCTAGTTTCCTTGGGGTAGAGGTTTATAGGCTGGTAAACCTTTGCTCTATGTCTAAAGATCATATATGAGTGAGTACATACCATGTTTGTCTTTTTGTGATTGGGTTACCTCACTCAGGATGGTTTCTTCTAGTTCTTATAGAGTCCCATTGTGAAGTCTCTGAACTTAGGCCTTATCACAAGAATTGGGGATGTAGCAGAGGTATTCAAACTTTTGTCTACCACAGTGTAGACAGGAAAGAGATATGGGGTAGCAATTTTTATTTCTTCATATCTTAATTTAAAATCCTACTTATATAAACTTCTGAGTAATTATTATATTTAATATAATATTAATAATGGCATGTCATTCTCTGGTTAGATTTTCAAGATAATGACTAGTTACTGTAAATGGCAAGGACACTGTGGTACTCACCTGTTTTTCCCAATGCTATTGTCCCTTCAGTGTCTGCCATCTCCTGTAATTCTTAGCTATAACACTTGGACTGGCTCAGTGGAGAAAATACACAAAGTATCTCCGTTTAGTTCTAAGAATAACAGGGAAGGGAGTTGAATCATGTGTTCTCTTGTTTGCATTTCTTGCTACTCAACATTCAAAGACCAAAGGGTTTCTTCAAACTGTAAAACACTTGTTGATAAAAAGAGTTTCCCAAACTAGTGAGGAGCTTCCCATACTAGTGAGGAGCTTCCTAATCAGGTGCTGGTAAGTTTACTGCTACATGGTGGGCACAAAACTGAGCATATTGGGAACCCATAGAGGTTCTAAGATGATCACTCTGGTTGTATGCACATCCAGAGGTCTCTCAACAGGCAATCATCTGGGTCTGACTCAAGTTCTGCAGTCACAATACTCAGCAATGAAATCAGTAAGCCTGCTGTCACAGAGTGAGAGGAACCTAGACTTGTGTAGAAGGTAATGATGAATATGGGCAGAGGCAGACAGAATCAAATGTAACCATGAGATTAATCATTGGATTTTATCACGGTAATTTCTTGTCTTTTAGTAACTGTAACTTTCTACTTTTTAAGGAAATACTAACTAATAAGGCAGAGTTAATAATGTGCATCAAGAGTTGATCCTGGCAGTGAGGTGAATGGGCTGAGAATTTTCTTTTGATGATTTCTCTACAGATGCTGAGAGAGCATAGATAGAAGCTATTAGTTCCCACCCACCCCCCCAAATATCCACAGCCCTGCCCAAGTGATTCCTGCAGAAACAGGAAATCATTGGCTTGCCTAAATAACTAGAGAAGGAAAAGCCTGTGAAGTAAGCTCAGCAAATGAAAGATGGAACTGAATTACATGTTGCTTAAGCTCTTGCATTCCTACAACAGGTCATCTCTGTGGAATCAAACCTAAGTGAAAGGAGAATAGGAATCCTGATGCTCTGGAATAATCTGTGTCAAAGTTTGGTTGGTAGGTCCTTCCTTCAGAAGACATGTAACTCTGCTCACCACATTTTGTGATAATGTCAATCTTTCAATATGTATATTCTGCTTACTTAATAGTGTTAAATTTTAATAGATATGATTTCCATTGAATCATAGAGAGATGGCTCAGTGGTTCAGAGCATTTGCTGCTCTTTCAAAGGACCTGGGATTAATTCCCAGCACCCACACAGTGGTTCATAGCTGCTTACAATTCCTATTGTAGGATATTTGATGCCTTCCTCTGACCTCCATGGGGACTAATTACACATGTGATGAACAAACGTACATGCAAGGCAAGCCGTTTCTAAAGTAAAAGCAAATAAAACTATAAAATTAAAAAGTAAATAAAAATAGATATGATTTCCATTTATGACTGACTAAACCCAAAGATTTTTCTAAAAAGATAATGAAATTTGATAGAAAAGACTACAAGGAAAATAAGACACTGATTTAAAAAACATGCACAACTGCATTTCAAATAAACTTTTCAATAGCATTTGGGCAAAGAAAGGTTATTTTGGACTAAGGTATGAAAGAGTAGCACAAAGAGTGTCATAAGGCTTCTCAGTGTATGGAGTTACCAGGAACCTTATCAACGCAGGATAAATGTGTGAAAGATACCAGCAAGTCTTGGCTGTCTAACAGAGCTTCTGCAATCCAAATAAGGTGGGTGATATGTCACCCATGCATTGTTGGCAGCTTTTTAACCAAATTGCCATCTTTGGATTATTTATTAATATGCTTTATTCCTATTAGAAGTTATATCATTTGATCCTCCAAATTGTAAGATGCTGTAGCTATCACCATTTGATAATTACTGGAAATGACAAAATTAAAACATTTGTAATTCTAACCTATTTTTAGGTAAAATTTTCATTATCCTCAAAAATGCAGTTATTGAGGATGCAATAAATGCAAAATGCAATAAATTATTGCAAAAATATTAAAAGAAATAACAATACTACAATTATTAATTTTATTATCATTAATGTATTAAATTGTAATGAGACTATAATGACATTACAAGAAAGCTAAAATTTTATGTCAAAATTAGTAAAGGATATCATTCATGCATTGAGTTTCTGAAATATTTTGATTCTCGTCACTAAGATTGATAATAATAACTGAAAATTCTTCATTTACTTTAAGAAAATCCCAGTGTTAAATAAGTTCCTAGATAATGAATATCAATTCAAGTGATCTATTTCAGACCTGGTGGTTGTAGTTAATAGTAATGTATGCTTTACAATTTATGCAACAATGGTAGGTATCTTAGTTAGAGTTACTAGCTGTGATGAAAGACTATGATAAAAGCCAATTTGGGAGCAAAGGGTTTATTCAGCTTATATTTCCATATCATTGCTCATCATTGAAGGAAGTCAGGACTGGAATTCAAACAGGGCAGGAACCTGGAGGCAGGAGCTGATGCAGAGGCCATACAGGGTGCTGCTTACTGGCTTACTCCACAAGGTTTGCTCAACCTGCTTTCTTTTTTCTTTTATTCTAAATTATGTTTTATTGAATGATTATACTTCTTTTAATTTTTTATTTTTTTGTTTTACATCCTGACCACAGTTTCTCCCCCAGTCTCCCCCCACCATCACCTCCCTCCCTATCCACTCATCTTCCTCTGTTTATCTTCAGAAAAGGGCAGGCTTTCCATGCATATCAGCCAGCCATGATATATCAAGTTGCAATGAGATTAGGAACCTCCTCTCCTATTAAGGATAGCCAAGGAAATCTGATAGAAAGAAAGGGGGCCCAAAATCAGGTAACAGAGCTAGAGACAGTCCCAGTTCCCACTGTTAGGAGTCCCACAAAATGATCAAGCTACACAACTGTAACATATCCGCAGTGTGGCTAGGCCAGTCCCGTGCAGACTCCCTGGTTATTGGTTCAGTAACCACGAGCCCCTATGAGCTAGGTTAGATGATTATGCATGTTTTCTTGTGGTGTCCTTGACTCCTTTGCCTCCTATACTCCTCCCTCCCTATCTTCCACAGGATTCTCTGATCTCTGCCTAATGTTTGTCTGTGGGTCTCTGCATCTGTTCCCATCAGCAGCTGGGTGAAGCCTTTCTGATGAGAGTTGGACTATGCACTAATCTATGAGTACATTAGAATATCAGTAGGAATCATTCCATCGACTTTATTTTTTGCTTTTGTCTCTTGCTTGGTTCTATCCTAGGTCTCTGAGCTATCCTCTCTCTGGGTCCTGGCCCTCAGAGCTGAGCTCCCCCCTAGTGGTATGGGTCTCAAGTTGGGCTATTCATTTGTTTATCACTTCCACAAATTCAGTACCATCTTTACTCCAGCACATATTTTAGGCAGAGCAAATTGTAGGTCAAAGATTATGTGGCTGGGTTGCTGTCCCAATCCCTCTACTGGAAATCTTGTCTGGTTACAGGAGATGGCTGTTTCAAGCTCATATTCCCCACTGCTAGGAGTCTGACCTAGGGTTACCCTCATAGATTGCTGGGAGTTTCCATTACACTAGGTTTCTAGCTCATCCCAGAGATGTCTCCAGATTCTACTTTTCTCTTCTAGTACTCTCTCCCTCTATCCTCCCCCTACCTGATCCTTCCTGTTCTCATCCCCATCTCCCCATCCATGTCCAATAGCAATGTCTATTCTATTTCCTCTTCACAGTGAGATCCATGTGTCCCCTTTGAGTCCTCCTTGTTAATTAGTTTCTCCAGGTCTGCAACTAGCAACTATCAATAAGTGAGTACTTACCATATTTGTCCTTCTGGGTCTTAGGCTATTCACTTAGGATGAGCTTTGCTATCTCCATCCATTTGCTAGAAAGTTTCAGGGTGTCATTGTTTTTAACAACTGAGTAATACTCCATTGTGTGCATGCATAAATAATATAAAATATATTGGGGCAACTCTAACCAAACAAGAGGAAGATTTATATATCAAGAACTTTAAAGTCTTTGAAGAAAGAAATTTTGGAAGCTTTCAGAAAATGGAAATATCTCCCATGTTCAAGGATCAGTAGGTTTAACTTAGGAAAAATGATGGTTTACCATAGCCTGATCTTGTGGAGGCATTTTCCCAATGTCTCCTCTCTGATGTCTCTAGCCTGTGTCAAGTTGACATAAAAATAGCCAGGACAGTAAATATTTGGATATTTTAGTTACTTTCCTCATTGTTTTGACAAAATACCTAACACAAACAATTTAAGGGAGGAAGGCTTATTTTGGCTAATATGTTCAGATGGTTACAATCCACCATGGTGAGGAAGGCATGGCAGCAGGAGCATGTGGTAAGGATTTCTTATATGACAGCGAGCCAGGAGACAGAAAATTAGAACAGAACTAGCATAATATCAGACTTTCAAAGGCCCACTCCTCACAGCTATTCACCCCTGTCAGCCATGCCCTATTTCTCAAGGGTGTTATAACTTACAAAAATAATACCACCTACTGGAGAGAGTATCATAGCACATGAGGCTGTGGAAGGCATTTTAGACTCAAAGCATGACCACAAACACTAGCCTAGTTCCACAAATAAACATATGCACTGCCTTGTGTAACATGTAAGCATATACAAATACATAAATATTATCAAGCAGAATGATTTTGTTGAGCCCCAGAACATGCGCCTCACAGATACATTATACCTAAGTTTGGAGGAGACTTTCACATGAACTATCTATGTATTTGCATTTATATGCATTTCTTAGATTTTTATCTAAAATTAATGATACTGATTTAATGGAGCAAAATGTCTTTTCTATCAATGTAAGAAACCAACTAATTTAAGTTATCTGGGTATCTCATTGAGGTAAATGTAAAGATAATATTGTTCAAATGGATTAAACAAAAAGAGAAACTTAGAGGGGAAACACCTTATTTAAGAATGGACTCAGTGTCTAGTAAAACAAACCAAAATTAATCCTCTATATTAATCTAGATATTTGATCTGAATAATTAATATTAACGTATAGTGAAATCTGAGTTATCAGGGAGCAAATATGTAGATGTTACAGGCTTGAGTATTTGTTATTCTTTGGATAGTTATTTTAAAAATCCTTAAAATATATTTCTAACAACAAACAGAATGAAGGGGAAATTAATTCCATTTTTTGTTGGATTTCAAAGCTTTTCAAAGAACACATTCACTCTCTATCTAGCTACTATTAAAGCTGATTTGAAAATAAGATCAAACTACCATTTTTGCTTGAGTTATAATTAAGCATGTAAAGTATAGAAGACAAAGAAAATATTTTCTTAAAGGCAAACAAATAACTTACAGTACAACACAGCAGAATGACAGAAAAATTATGACTATTTGATGCCTAAGACGTAAAAGCCATCATGATTACATGATAGTACACCAAGGAGTGGTGATAAAGGGAGGTGTGGTTAATGAGCCCAGAACTGAAGGGAGTTTTATTTTTCCCCTGGGAAACTTGTGAGCCAATTGTATCAAACTTTGGCCAATAGTGGCTAAAGTCAATCATTCTTTCAACAGCACCTGGCCCCGGATTCATTGCTACAGCCAAAGCTCATAACAGTAAAACAGAAATAATCTCTAAATGGACAAAGGGTGGGGATATTGGCTTGCTTGAAAGACTTTAATAATTTTTCCCTCCTCTTGACATGATTGTAGTATTATGGTCCACATCTATGTAGTGAATTAATTGTCACGTTTGTATTACACCTTCTTCCCAAGCCCAATGGGGCATTTTATCTCCTCCAATATAGTGCCATGGTCATGCCTAGTCTTCATTACTGTTATGAACACAGAAAATATGCTGCTTCAGATTCAAGAACATCATGACAAGAGCCAATCACACCAATAATGACCTAATAAAATTTTCCTCAAATAACAGGGGAATATATTTTATACGTGACACCTTGCAGAATTGGGTATGATAAAGTATTTGAATAGGTAAAAATGTTAGTTTTGTCATCTGCTCAGATATGTAGTGAAACACTAGATTTGGTAGTTTAGCATCAGTAACATAAGAGTACTAATTGCCCTTTTATAGACTTATCTTGCATTAAGTATCTGCATGTATCCATGTGTATGTGTAACACAAATAATAAAAATACAGTGAGAGATATTGGGGTTCTAGCTGAAAGACCAGAGAAGCTAAGAAGCTAAGCCAGTAGTTCTACCTATGCTGAAGCAATCCTGTACTCAATGTGGCTGGAGACCAAAATGCCCCATACTGAATATCTGCTCCTATCTTATTACCTCAAGTGCTAGGATTAAAGGAATGTGATCCCAAGTGCTGAGATCACCTTTGTGTCAGCTGTTTCTCTTTAGGACTGGATCAATTTCTTGTAGCTCACTGTGGCCTTGAACTAACTGCCTTCATCTCCTGAGTCCTGGGATTAAAGGTGTGTGCCCCCACTGCCTGGCTCTATGCCTAGTTAATATGACTGCTCAGATTAAAGTTGTCTATCACCACTGCCTGGCTATATGGCTTGTGACTAGCTTTGCATTCTTAAAACACTCAGACAACCTTTATTAAATCATAAATAATATATCAACACTGTGTGGGTGTGTGCACATGCTCTAGACGGTCAGAGGCTTATGTTTCCAGAGCTGGAGTTACAAATCACTGAGAGCCAACAGATACAGGTGCTGGGAACTGAATTGAGGTCTTCTGGAAGAATTTGTACTCCAGACCACTGAATTTCCTTTCCTGTCCTTTAACTACAATTTAAATAATGGAACAATTTCTCATGTTTAATCCTTAGGTTTGCAATGTTGGAGGATCCATCTGAGATACCAAATATCAAAGTAAATACTCTTCAGGGGCCTAAAAAAGTCTTCAAAAAACTGGGATCTCACTTTTCAAAGCTTCCACTCACTCTCTGAGGTGGGGAAGGTGAGGGTGGGGAAACATTATGTGCACACTGGAATCTGTAATGTCTGTGGATAATGTATTAAATATATTTGGAATATACGGTTATGGTTATGGTTAAAAACAGTCTAACTCTTACAAAATTTATGGCTTTGGGTCATGCTAAGCCATTTTCTCAGACACTCACTATGGAAAGCTAATTAGCTACGAAGTGTCCCCATTATAAGCCTTCTCAAGGAAAAGGAAAGTGTTGGAAATGTAGAGCTGTTTACACTTTTAACAGACAGGGCAGGAATGAAATGTTGTAGAAAAGAAAAGGGTGCTCAGAAAAGAGAAATTTTTCCAGGAGTCAAAATTTGAACCCTATGACATCAAGAGTTTTGTTTCTTAGTAACAGACAAGAGGGTGATGATGAATTAGTGCCAGAAGAGTCTTTCAAAAACATCAGAAAATAAACTGAGCTGAAATAAATTCCAGTGCCTTGAGAGAACTTAAAAAAGACATTTCTCATTAATGAAGAACTCCAAGAAGAGAGTGCTTTATTTATAAGGACATAGTGCCGAGATCGAAGTCACAGTTTTCAGGTGCCAAATCAGAATTCAGGCAAGAAAGAACATCAAAAGAAGTAACAGGCAGATGTTAAAAAAAAAAAAAAAAAAAAGGTAATAAGAAAATGTAGGAGACAGAATAACAAATGCTATATAGATAGTAAGCTGGGAAGAAACGTTGCCATGGAAACATAATTTAAGACAAGAAAAGGTCGAAAGTTCCTCTTAAAAGCTATAGGATGATTAGGCTGGAAAGTGTGGAGGTCGCTGAATGCAGTCATCTCTATTTCACTAAGGAGAATCTTCTGCTGCTGGTATCCATGAGGCCCTCCTCCACAAATGCAGTAACAAGACTGAACTCAGAAAATAAAGCAAAAGGAGACAAGAAAAAGACTGCAAGACAATGGAAACAGGAACAAAGGAACTTCTCAACTAAGTGATGGGTACATAGTAAAACCTGCTACCTGTTTCTTATTGAAATAGTAACTTTATAATATTAAATGGTCAAACAAGAAAAACAAGAAAGTCATAAATAATACACCATACAGTACTGTGGTAGGTTTATGTAGTTTTTAAATTTTTTTATCACTAGTTTTGAAGGGTAAGCAAATAAATATTGATCAGTAGAGCAGTATTTCCATAATAGTAGGGAAGGGTCCTGAAAATGAGTTGCCCCTGTATCTTTTTATTACTGGTTATTCAACTCTAGCCTCAAGCTGATTAGGCAAGAGCTGTGTGGCTGATCTATATCAACACCATTTTCACTTCTTATTTGGAGACAGAGTGTCTTTACCCTAACCAGGTTGGCCTTGAGCTTGCTAGCCTCTATCCTTACTCTCCTCTGTATAATACTTCTGAAGATATTATCATAGCTTTTTCCAAATTGTATTACATAATCATATGAGCAAAAATAGAATAATTCCTGGAAAAAAAAAAAAAAAAAAACCAAACACAGGAAAAAAGATGTAAGACCCAGAAATGAGTATAAACAACTTTGTCTACCTTGTTATTAATAATTATGTGTGCATGTGGGTACACAAACACACACACACACACACACAGAGAGAGAGAGAGAGAGAGAGAGAGAGAGAGAGAGAGAGAGAGAGAGAGACCCTGGAGTTCAACAAATGTTGTCAGGAAATCTGGATTTCAACATACAGAAAAGTGAAACTAAATCCTGAGCTCACACACTGCACAAAACTCAACTATAAGTAAAACTTGATACTCTAAACCAGCTGGAGGAAAAAGTAAGGAATATGCTTCAATTTTTAGATATAGGGAGTCTTGTGAAGAGTACTCCAGTATCACAGGAATTAAGACCAGCAATCAAGAAGCAGAATCTCATGAAACTAAAAGCTTATGGACAGCAAAGGAAATTACCAGTAAAATGAAGAGACCACCCACAGAACTGAAGAATATCTTGGTCGGTTGTATGTACATCTGAACAAAGACCAATGTTTAGAGTATACAAAGAACTGAAAACAAACATCGACAAAATAAACAACTCAATTTAAAAATGGAGTGCAGAATTGAGCCAAAACTTCTCAGAAGAAGAAATAAAAATGGTTCATGAGCATTTTACAATATATCAAACACACTTGGCCATTAGTGAAATAGATATTAAAAGCACTTTTAATATTCATCTCACCATAGAATGGTGGTCATTGGGAATACAAATGACAACAAATGCTAGCATGCATAAACTTCCATTCACCATTGGAGGAACAGTAAACTGAGGATACAGTTTAATAGTTGGTTTTCTTAGACCCCTGGAAAACTCAGGTATCCGGGGTCCCAGGCCACGACCCAGGTCACCCCAATCACCAGGCAGATTCAAGAGCTTGCTGCAAACTTCATGAGGGTTTTTGGTTTTTTTTTTTTGTTTTTTTTTTTGTTTTTTGTTTTTTGTTTTTTTTTAACGAGCTAACCCCATGTTAGCTCGGGTCTTTCACCCACCCGCCATGGCGGATGGCTAGCAAAGACAGCTCCTAAGGGCTCCCGAGAGATCTTGTAAGGCAGAGTAAGGGGAGTGTCTAGGGGTACACACAGGCTCATGACTGGTGTGCCTCCAGGCTTGGAGGGCTTGCCCTGTGTTGATTGGCCAACTGGTTGTTATGGC